AACAGTAGTTTACTGGCAGCAGGGTTGCCAGTAAGGTACTGTTAATTTACAGCTCTTATTTTTTACAGTGTTTTACCGTAATTCTACCATGGAAATGAACTCCGCTCCCATTGCTTCAAACAGTTCGAGTTTAAAAACTAGAATTCATACGATGTTAGTACTGTGAACTTACTTCATTTGAGTCCACTGAGAAGGAATATTTCTTAGTATAAACCTGCAAACACTTAATGTGTAACAGCAAAATAACTAAAAACATGACTTTAACTCAAATCGTTGCAGTTCATTGTTAGCTCTGTGCTGGTACCCAGCATGCACTGCAGCATGAAGCTTTTGATTGTCACCATTGTTGAGATTCATACGCTGATTCTTCATGTCTCTGTGTGTCTAAGAGATGCCTCAGTATTAAAGCCTTTGAATATAAGAAGTTTTCAAAATCCATCATGATTGTCTATCATCTCATTTTGCAGATTCATACAGCAATCTTAAACAACATGAAACTAGTGAAAATCCACACTATAGTTTTCAAGATCAGTGAACCAGGCCGCAAAATGATGATTACACCATCATCAATAATTAACCAGAACTATTTCATCATAAATTTTCTACGCTTTTATTGTTATAACAAACATGCTTTACAAACACAGCTACAACAAGCTAATATTAAAAAGTGACAGGTCAAGAGCCCAACTAAAGCAAACACTGATCGCCTCGAGGGTGAGGTCAAACAAAACGTGTTCACTAAGCCATCTAAACCTCTGTTAATTCTCAAATAGTTTTTGTAGCTATATGACAGAAATAAAGTCAAAGTGTAATGCTGTGTGTGGAGTTGTTTGATCGTGTTCTGCTGTCTTATTTCAGTTGATTTCATCTTCGGCTGTGACTGAAGTCAGTTGTAGTTCTTGTGTTTCTCTTTTCTTCAGTGATTGTGCTCGTTAACAGCAGCTGTTCATCAGTGTCTGAAGTCACTCATCAGTGTTCATTCTCTCTGTCAGGTGGACTGTATTAGTAAACTCATGCAGGGAATAGTGAATGAGGGTGTAGGGTGTGATTTGAAACACAGTCTCTGAGTGTCGAATCTCAACGCTGTTACTACGAGAACTGCAGAAGGCTACTTTCTCGAAAATAACAAATATTACCTAGAATTCATAGTTTTTTTTACGGGATTGTACTGTTGTAATGAAAAAACAGGATGCTACTGTCAGAATATGGCCGTTTTTTTACAGCAATTTTTTTACAGTGTAGATGCAGCCTTTTTTTTGGGTTTGCATCGAATGTTCTTGGACTTCAATGCATTATAAATTTGTTTATGAGTAAAGATTGCAGTTATTATTAGTTAGATGCCAAAAGCTCTCCTCCTATTCAAATTTGACATCGAAGGGGTGCAGCTATAGTTGCCGCACATTCAAATATACGATTTTCAAGAAAAAAAACAAAAACCTGGGGAAAATAAATGCAGAACATTTTCACATAGGACACTATTAACATGAAATGCATGAAACCATTCAGAAAAATTTGGGCACAAATGGGTTAAAACCGTTCCCAGTACTCTAGCATTGAGTTACATGGGCAAACTCTTCTTGAGCCGTGATTTTTCTCAGAAAAAGTCCAAATCTAGTTGTCCACAGTTGTTACCGAACACAGGCAGGAAAAGCAGATGTAAATAGACAGGTGGAGGCTCAGTTTCTCACACACTGCTTTTCCTCAGCCAAAGCTTCCATGCCATGCATGTTATTATTGAAATCACTGAGAATGTAAATCAACTGGGTGTACATGTAAAACACAGTAAAAGATGTGAGTGCAGATGCAAAAACACTGGTAACAAAAGTATTTGCTTTAAAATATATATAAGACAAAAATATAAAAACAAAACAGAATATATATATAATAGTATTGTAAGATGTAATTTTGTCAGTGCTGATTTGTTTGTTATATAATTTCGAGGCTGTTTAACCATTGGAGATGCAAGTAGAATATTTGGTGTAGAATTCAAATGGGTCGAATGTAGTTTGTGGTCTCCAACTCTATATTGAGGTATTGAGCCTGGCTGAATTGTGCATATGATCCACTCTGCTTTGCACTATCCAGGCATCAATAGCAGCTGAAAGCATATTTACTGTATGAAATTGCTCCCATTTCCATGTATAATGCACTGTGTGACAACTGCTATACAGTCAGGAAGAGTGATTTATTGACACTTTAATTAAACATGGTCAAGACACACTGTAAAGAATTGTCAGGAATTTACAGGATTAAAGAGTATTATTTTACAATAAATTTGCAACATGTGGGAGGCGTGACAACGCAGTAGTGAATCCAAGTGCAGGCTTTATTCAAAAGAGTGGTCAAACAGGCAGGGCCCACAACAGCAAGCAGGCACAATCCAGGATGAGACAAAAGAGTAATCCAATAAACAGCAAATAATCAGAAAACAAGGAAACAGTCCAGGGATCAGGATGATGGAGGTAACAAGACACAGGTGAAGGCAATCAGTGATCAAGAGTCCAGGCAAAGGATTATGGGCAATGTAGTTAGTAAAGGAGTGACAACAGTCTGGGGTGGAGTGCCCTCTGGAGGAGCTCATATTCCAGCTTTTTTTTACCGTAGTCAGAAATTTACTGTGAAATCGATGCATGCTGGTCATTTTCTTACAAATGACAGTCATTTACTGCTCTTGTTGTACTGTGAATTCACATTATAAAGTTGTGTTTAACTGTGCCACTGAGAGAAATTTAGTTGTTTACTGCTGTAATTGTTTTGAAGTCTCCATAATGGTGATCAGTGATTTGTTTGGGATCTTTGACCTTGTGTATTCATATTCAAATTTCTGATCTAGTCACGTCAGAAGTGTGATAAATGAAAATATTTGTTAAAATGATGACAAGCTAGAATATGAAATAAGTGAATTTCCTGATTTTAAGATAGTCAAACTATTCTTAGTATGAGCATGAAGATACTATTTCAGCAATATTTAAGCATGAAGATTAATAATAACTTATTTCATATTCATAACTGTTTGTGGATGAATCTTTCACGAGAGTGAAGCGACTGCTGAGAAACGTCTTTGAAAGATGTGACGTCAAAACTCGATATACACAACACAACAATGGTAACACTCAACAAATAAAACCAACACTTACAACATAAACCAACATTACAAACTGCTAAAAGTGAACCAAAAACAAGTTCAGTAGCACAAATAAAACCAACAAGAATGAAAAAAAAAATGCATGCTGGGCTTCAGAATACATATGCACTGTAGAAACACAGCATGATGCTGTTTGTTCACAAGAGAAGTCCCACTGAAAGTAATGCAATTATTAACCGGGAATCTACTATAATTTCACACAAAAAATGTTAACAGTGCATGTTTATTAAAATGCACAGATGATTTGTTCACAATAATAACAGTAGCATGTATTAAGAGAATAAACAGGCTCAGTTTTGATTTCATGCCGAGAAATCAAATCTATGCTGCATGTCTTGTTAGAAAGTGTTAGTGGACAGATGTGTGAGTTTATTTTCTAAACCTCAACAAAGCCCGTAGTTGAAGAATAACTTTTATATTTTGTTTCATTGCATTTTTTTTTTTTGCTTGAGTAACAACAGTGTTAAACATCAGTGTAAGTATAATTGGATTGGCGTGAAGCATATATAGATATAATGTAAACATTTCTGCTCATCTTTACAATAGCCATGTCTTATTTCGAAGGCTGTGCCCTCTGGAGGTCACATTTTTAGGGCACATACGTCATTAAGGACGTCTTATTTAAGAAAAGCAACCATAATAATATTCCTCTTGAGGTATAAATTACTGTAATTTCTTTCATATTTTGCGATGTAAAGGTTTCTTTTCTTAAATGAGACTCATCCTCTGTGCTGTATGTGGCTGACAAATACGACCTCTGGAGGGCACAGCATTGGAAAGGAGACACAGCTAACATGAGGCATGAGTTCATTTTCTTCTGTTGGTTCTTGGATTACAGTGTCATTCGTTTGGTAGTAGATAGTGTTTATAGCAAGTGAAGTGTGAAATTTGCATTTCATTGGTTGGTGTTTAGTACATTAAGCCACATCTCTGTGTTTGTGTGTGTCTACTTAACCATATTTTGAAGACAAATGTGTACCCAGACCTGCAAAAAAAGAGAAAAACTCATTTTGGGTACGTCCTCATTTGTAAAAACAGTATACAGATAAAGTGCTCCCCTGCTACTGGACACAATGCAATGGAAAGCCAGTACATACTTTGTAATGCATTTTGATGTAGTTTTGACTGTTGTCCAAATCTCTCCCACACAGCAGGCTTATTTTGAGATGTATACGAAGCTGCCTGGGTATTATGTCAAAAAGTACTGGATTATTGAATTTGATAAATGCTGCAATGATGACCCTCCACCCAGAATAATGTCTCTGTATGAATCGCTCTGGCGTTTGCTTTCACTCAGTAATGGTGGATGTAGATGAGCAGAGATCTGATAAACGGGTTCACCGGTTGCGTGAAATCGTCATCTGGTGTGAGTTTAGTGGCGCATCTCGCACCTCTTCATCTGCCCACTCAGTGTCTGCACAGTCGATCATCTCTGGTGCTCTTGAATGCTGGAGTGTAGGCCACTGATGCGTGTGTAGTTAATATTCCTCTGAGGTTCGTCAGAGTGCAGGAAGCACCCGAGGTACTGGAGTATTCACTCCGCTGATGTCAGGCCACCAGCGCTGCTATTTTTACCAGGGTTTATATCGAGATGAAGACACTTCTCTTCAAACCATGTCTGTCCTTAAGGCCTGTTTACAGCAAGAAATGTCACAAATGCAATATTTTAATTTGCATCAGCTGTTGTTAACGCATCAGCATCAGCATGGCGTCGCTGCAATCTCTTTTCCATTGCACTGCGAAGAAAATTGAATGCACACAAAAGTCTGTTCGTAAATTGAAATGAGGCCCCCTGAAGTCTCAGATTTTGTTCAACAATGGAATAAAACGTTTCTATTGTCTGTTTGTCTGTCAGACGGCAGCAGAATATGCCAAGTCGCATCTTCCCGTCATGTTGCGGCAGCAGCTTCAGCGTTATGAGAAGCAGAAGGAGAACAGCGCTGTGACCTGCCAGTCCATCCTCAAACAGCAGATACTCAACATGGACAAAGAGATCCTGGAGAAACTGTCGGCCTCCTATGATGAAGCAGGTGAGAGCTCGCAGCAGTGAACCTGTAGTCTGATATTTATTTAGTCAGTCTGCAATCATTAGACCTTGGAGCTGAGCACTCAATGAAATAGTTTACCCAGAAATGAAGTGTGCTCACCCTCAGTTCATCCGAGATCAGGATGAGTTTGTTTCTTCCTCAGATTTGGAGAAAAGTAGCACTGCATCAGTGTCTCAGCAACGGATGCTCTGCAGTGAATGGGTGCCGTCAGAATGAGAGTCCAAACAGCTGATAAAAACATCACAAGTAATCCACAGCACTTCAGTCCATCAGTTAACATCTGGAGAAGACAACAGCTGAAACACATCCAGCATTAAGATGGACTCTCATTCTGACGGCACCCATTCACTGCAGAGCATCCATTGCTGAGACACTGATGCACATACTGTGAACAGTACTGCTTCATACAGATCTGTGTAGCGTTAGTAGTTGGCAGTGTTCAGATTAAACAGCATAGTACCCAATAATCACAATCAGCTGTGACTGGTCCATGAAGCCGTCTGTGCACTACCTCAGTGGGACATTTTCTTCACAAATGTATTACATTGCTGCCACAGAGCTGTTAGTGATGATGGGTTTATCAGTTAAGGGTTGTTCTCTTTCATGAGGTATTTCGCTCTTTTGTTTTGAAAGGATAAGGTCAGCTCCTGTGCGGTTTGTGTCTCTGTCAGGTACCACGTGTCTGGTGGCTCTGCTGTCTGAGAAGGAGCTGACTGTGGCGAATGTTGGCGATTCGAGGGCGGTTCTGTGTGATAAAGACGGTAATGCTGTCCCGCTGTCACATGACCACAAACCCTACCAGCTCAAAGAGCGGAAGAGAATCAAGAAAGCAGGTGAGCAGCTCATCTAATCATGTGGCCTCACGGTACAAATTTCACTTTCATTTTTGATCTATTGTATTTCTTTGTGCTGTTGCTTGTAATTTGCTTATTTGTTCTTATTTTATAGCTGACTGCTCATTTGTCTTTAAAAATGTTTGAAATCTACATTCGTTTGGCTAGTAGTTTTTGCTCCAGTATTAAAATTGGAACTGATAATTGTGAAATTTCACTGGTTTATTAATAATAATAATGTTACATGGGTCAAAACATGAAAACAATAAATATTTATTAATATTATTATTTGTGTATTTATGTGTGAGTGTGTGTGTGTGTGAGTGTGTGTCTGTGTGTGTGGGGGGGGACTTGTGGCAGTGTGGGGACTTAAATTGAGGTCCCCATGGGTACAGAAGCTTATAAATCATACAGAATTAATTTTTTTTGCGAAAGTAAAAATGCAGTTTCCTGTGAGGGGTAGGTTTAGGTGTAGGATTGGTGTGTGTGTGTGTGTGTGAGTGTGAGTGAGTGTGTGAGAGTGTGGTTGTGTGTGTGTGTGTGTGTAAGTGAGTGTGAGTGAGTGTGTGAGAGTGTGTTTGTGTG